TCATACATTTAGAGGGTCACATCCCATATCCCATGTGTCTGCAAGGATGTTGAATATGGATACTTAAAGATAACAAAGAATCAAAGTAACAGATTTTTATTGTTTCCTCAGTCTTCGATCACATTGTTGCCAGTAGTGTTAAACCTTCTAGGCTGTTGAGTCGATACCGCATACGGAAGTATATGTACGCTACAAGTAGGATAGAAAGATATTGATCCCACGGGGAGTTATTCAAAATTTTGCATCAATTCCTGGATCTAACTTAAACATAAAAGTCATCTATTAGTCCGATTCATATTAAACTGTATAAAATAATTGAAATAAAAATAACACATAACTAGGAAGAAAATAAATAAATATTGAAGAGAAAATAATTCTAAAACTAGATTTAATAACTAAATATCTAATGAAAATATAAGTTATTAGAGTTATCATAGGCATTATTGTTTTTTCATTGTACTGTTAGTCTGTTACTGATTTCCCTCAATATCCACAACTTTGTATCATGATGTTGCTTTTGGTTATTGATAGACTTGGATGCCTCGTTTATGTGCAGGAAATTGCTGAATTGTACGAGACTGAACAAAACATTGAACAGGCCATGGATTATTACGAAAAGGCTGCAGATTTCTTCCAAAGTGAAGAAGTATCTACTTCTGCCAATCAGTGCAAGCAGAAAGTTGCACAATTTGCTGCTCAGATAGAACAGTAAACATATTCACTTCTAATAGATGTTGTTCTTGCTACGATTTTGTGTTGCTTGCTCAGATAAATACGGCTCCCCTTGTAAAATTTGACAAATTTTTACAGCTCTACTTTTGAATTTCTTCAGATACCAGAAAGCCATTGAGATCTATGAAGAGATAGCACGGCAGGCAGTTACCAACAACTTGCTGAAGTATGGAGTTAAAGGGCATCTCCTCAATGCTGGCATTTGTCAACTCTGCAAAGGCGATGTTGTTGCAATCACCAATGCGTTAGAGAGATATCAGGTTGACTTTTTGGCGTCGTAGAAACATGTTTTACCTCTGGTTATATTGAACTTACATCTATATTTGCTTTCTTCAGGATCTGGATCCAACTTTTTCTGGAACACGAGAGTGTAGATTATTAACCGTAAGTTATCACAAAGAAACAATATATATTTTTTTCTAATTTATTTTTCTATTGCTAAAGGAGTTGATGTGATTAGGTTTTTTGATTGCTTAAAGATGCCTATTCAGCGGTTGCATTTTTGTCATTTGTTTTTATTTCCGCTTTCATATGCATTGGCTGATGATATATCTGGTTACTGCCTTACATTCGAACCAGAAAACTTGTTAACCTACGATTCATTGGTGGTAATTTTGAGAATCTGGTCCTTAGCCTTTGAAATTCATATGGTAATGAGCCGATGCTTTCCGTGACAGGACATTGCTTCTGCTATGGACGAGGAAGATGTCACGAAGTTTACCGATGCTCTCAAGGAATTCGACAGCATGACCCCATTGGTATGCCGATTTCGATCACAAATGCTTATTGGATGAAATGAGAATTATGATGTGTTTTCTGTTTACACAATACACATTGCAGGATTCTTGGAAGACAACCCTTTTACTGCGAGTGAAGGAAAAGCTGAAAGCTAAGGAACTGGAGGAAGATGATCTTACCTAAAATAACTTCACGTCGTAACTGCCTTGCTTTTAACGGTGATTGCTTCGTATTTATATACTGTTATACTTGCTTAGAACTATTGGTTTAGGAGGTTTTGCTTTGAATGTCAGACACTGCTGGTTATTGGCTTTTGGGGGGGGGGGGTGGAATATGTTTGTAATTGGAATACTTGTGTTTTAAAATAAAGTTGAAATAATTGAATCCGTGGGTTTTGGAAATGGCATCTGCTTGCCCTTGTTTATTCTTCGTTTTTCTTAAAATATTAGCGTATGTATTCGACACATTTTGAGATAATTCTTCAAACTCTAAGAGGGTGTTTGGTTCAAGGATTGTGAGATTCTTATGGGATGGGAATCCCACATTCCCATGTTTGGTTGGCCGGGAATCTCATTCCCGGTAATGTTTTATTACCAATAGTAGATTTTTTGAGATATATTACTGGGAATGTCATTACCTCCCTTCCCTTAAGTATTGTAACATTACCGGCGGTTTGGATTAAAATGTCCTTAAATTTTTATTTTTTTTCAAAAATATTATTTTTTTGTCATTGAATAATAAAAATTCTACGAAGGTTAAATTACAAATTTATCCTTAAATTATTTTAGATTTACAAAAAAAAATCTATAATTAAAATTTTATATGAAGTTCAGGGGTTAAATTTTTTTTTACCCTTTCATTAAACCTTTTTATATTTTAAATTTTGTAAAAAAAAATTATATAAATATTATGAATTTAATTTTTTAAAGAAAATATATAAATATTTTACAATTTGTAATATTATACAAATATATAATAAAGACAATTTGATCAAATATACATTCTAATAATCTTTTATTTTTTTAACCAAACACGGTAATCTTACATTTCTGCTAAATCAACCAAACACAAAATACAACATTCCCAGTAATCATATTCTTTGGTAATCTTTTATTCCCACTGGTAATCTTACATTCCGTGAACCAAACACACCCTAAATAAATTGTTACTCCGTGCTCAAAAGCATTTGAGCTTGCATAAACTAAACAATTTCAGTAATTAAAAAGATGATTGTTATCTCTAAAGATATTAAATTTGAGTATAATGTCTGTACGAATGTTTAAATTTTTATTATCAAATGATTGAATGTTTCGAACAAATACACTTTTATAATCACCTCATATTAATAATAATAAAAAAAGCATTTGAACGCATAGTATACAGCATTGACTATGTACCTTGTTTTACTATGACTATACCCCAAACTATACAGTTTTTTATTTACATCCTTGGCTCTGTTAAAACTAGTTCAGTAAGCTTGAATCTCACAGTTTCTTTAGTATCCTTTATCAAATATTAATACCCTGTATTTTTAATATCTATTTTTTATGTATAAAAACTAAATATCGAGAGGGATTAAACTGTTTTACATCAAATAATAAATATTTAAATTTAAAAGTTAGTAAAGATAAAAGATCATATTTAATATTTAAATTAAAAATGAACTATTAATAAAAAATAAAAATATCTAAAATGTCATTATATACAAAATATTTGGGAACTACTATCTCTCCAAAGCCCTTAATGACTCCGGCGCCAAAAAAGAATAATACCCTATTGCCATGACTAATTCAGATCGACCCTTGTTGCACACCTAGTTTTGATGGGTGAATCTTTCAATAGAGATTTTCTGCATACACAAATACTCAAACTTGAGATCTTACTTAAGCAACATCAAGCCGCTTACTACTTCAACCAGCCCTCGTATATCAGTTTAAATTTGAGTAAAATTATAATTCTATTCCCTTTAAATTTTTTTAGATTAAAAACTTAATATTTTTTTATTATTTATAAACTTAAGAAAATTGTTCCTCGTAATATTTAATCCAACTCCATCCAAGAAAATAATGCAGATGTTGCAGGCAGCTTCTGGTTTTTCAACATGGTACACCCAAGTAAAACGCAGCCACACACTTTTCTCATCTGTATATTAGTTATAGTTTTTTGTAAAAATAATGCTAAAATCCAGAAAAAAAAAATCTCCGAAGCAACCAACAAAAGGAGGGAAATGAAAACAGTGGAGGACGAAAGGAAACCGAGAGAGGGAAGGAGATCGGCAGTAGACCCCACACACAGAGAATGGAAAAGCTTGCACTTGCAGAAGCATCGAAGAATGTTCACCCCTCTTTAAAAACAGTCCAAAAACACTGTCCTCTACTTCTCTCTCATATCTCCACATCATCCTTGCTTTTATATATTACTAGTTTTGAGAAAGAACACAGAATGATGTAATACAGGAAGTTTGGATCGTTTGAGGTTTGTAAACATTTTACCGACAGACAATGGGAGACTCAGTTTGTCTGTCTCATGCAACCTTTTTTCTCACATTGCAGGCATTTTCAATGAATCCAAGGAGTTCAGTTCATCCATATATATACACATACAAAATTATATATGTATATATGTCTTTCAATCATTGCAGATTCTTCCCTGTATGGTTTCCAGGGCAACCCGGTTGATGATCTTGGACAGCCAATATCCTTTGGGAGATTCATGTCGGATCAGCTCGATACTTACTTTCGAGTTCGAGTAATGTAGATTAATATTGTTCCTCAAAGGTTTCAGCTTATGGAAGAACAACCGAGGTGTCGACTTCACCGGCTAAATTCAAAGCTACCATTCGTTCCAACAAGGGAAATAACCTCACTCCGTTGGCCAAGAAGTCTGCAACAGACATTGTTGATCGAAAGAAATCATCTCCGAAACCGAGTCATAAGTCTATGAATCAACTTCAGCCCTGCAAAAGAACTCGGTAGATTAACTTCTACCATTACCTGGAAAATAGATGGTTCGAGAATTGCTTCAAATTCTAAAGCATGTAAAGAATGCATCACACCTTTAAGGCCTCAGAACATGGTATCGTTCGGCCGATTTTATGTTCCGAATTGGAAGTTCTTGCAATGGATAATAGCTCGGGTTTCATTTATGTTCTGCAGGCTTCTATAAGTGGAAGGCCAAAGCAATCTTCAGCCAATCCTTGGTCGGAAAACAGAAGGTAACAAACATATATAATTGAGAAAAATGCTAGTTGTTTGAAAATACAATGAAATTTATGTCACTTTATCCTCACATATCTTTTGTCAAATGCATGAATTGCGGTGCTAGAACACCCTTTAAATCCTCAGCCAGTGAGAGTAAAACATCCCATGGAAAATGGATCTTTCTTCCAACAGACTACAGAGTAAGGAACTTTCTTCTTTTTGAAATATCGGTGTTTGACATTCGTGTCGGAGATACAACCCTCCGATACGCGCATGTCGGAGACATAAAACGCCATTGAAAATGATTACTAAGAATGCAAACAAGAGAGCTCATACAAGTAAAGATAGATAGTCTATAAATCACATTTCTCCCACTAAACACCACCCTTCATATTCCTCTATGTCTAGCATGATGAACCCCCCATCACAAAAACTCATATGATCATCATTGTTGTTGTTCTGTTTGTCATGTAGAGACCAAAACTTAGCCATAAAATCATCGTTGTCGTCTACAAGAACATGTGTATCACCATTCTCATAGTCATCATCATCATGATCATGATCGTTTTCATGATGATCATTGATCTCATCTTCTTCATTAATACTATCCAAATAATCCAAAACCGCGGTGGCTGAAATCCCGGAAAATTTAAAACCGGCCATATTACTTGTACTAAACTTTTGAGTACCCTTTGTCTTGTCCTTGGACTTACTAACCGGATTCATATGACACTGGACCCATTGTGACTTCCCACATTTTCCAGTAAACTCGGAATGGCTGCTGGCCTTCGATGTCACATTGGAAAATGATCTGTCAACCGGGACTGAATTGAGACTCGGAACATGCCGTGTTTTGGGTTTCGGATTCCGTGGAGATGGATGGACCGGGTAAGTCCGAACCATACTATGTTGGCGAGCCCCCCTCTTCATTTTTGGTCTGAAAAATGTAGGCTGGGAATTGAATGATGAGTCCCTCGTCATTGTCTTTATAGAGCATAGAAGTGGGACAACCTATATATGCTTGGGAAGCAAGGAGTTTTGTCGGGTCATATTCCTTGCTGGCCAAGGAGATTGGTTTGTTTGTTTTTTGTTAAGTGGCCAAGAAGTAGCTTGGTATCAAAGTAGAAAAGTCAATGACTTTTTCCTACTTTACCTGTTGAGTGTTGACCAGATAGGATCTTATGCTTTTTCAACTGTTCAAATGGTAGAATATTTAAGCCTTAAGTTTGATTTTAGTCCATAATAATCAAGTATTTTTAATTTTTGGGTCTAAATCTAGAAACCCATAATTATTTGAAAAAAATAGAATTTTATTTTTAATTAACCTTTAATTTATTTAATATAAAATAATTATTTTTCTTAAATTAAAGAATAAGGTTTTAATATATTAAAGGTCCTTGTATTGTTTTAATTTTTTTTTTATAAAATTGAATCTTTGTATTATTTTTATTTAAAAATATTAATTTCATCTCGAATTTTTATTCAATTTTGTTTCTATACAACTTTTTATCTCATATATTTACATGTTTTTATCAATTTAATCTAAATATTTAAAAAATTAATTTAAAAAATTATCATTTATTGAATAATATAATTTTTAACATTTTACTTTTTTTTAATTCTTTTAAGGGTCAAATTGATAAAAAATATATAAATATAGAGAAATAAAAAAAGTTCTTTTGCTTTTCCTATAGCTGTCAAGTTACCGAATAATGATAAAATTGAAAAGAAATTAGAAAAGATATCAAGATTTTTAAATAAAAATAGCACAAACTCAATTTAATAAATACAAAATATAGGGCTAAAATTTAAAATTTGACATAATACAGAAACCTTTGACATTTTTTTTTTCTAAAAAAAAGCCCCTCCAAAATACTATATAATCCTTAAAAACCAATTAACACAGACGATCCAAACTAGGAAAAATTCTAATTTACAACATTCAATAAGCTTGTTCTCATTCTTTCAGGGGTTCTTTCTTTATTAAACAGCTCATCTAAGAAAAGGAGGAAATCCCAGAAATAGGGTTTTGATAGCCAAGTTTCGAGAGTGTTAACCTAATATAAATTCATGCATTTGAGCTAACTTTCACTCATCATCTCAAAGCAATGGAGAGTATACAGAAATCAAAGTCATACAGCAAATCGATTCAGGATATATGTTCTGATAAGTTGCACAATTTGTTTGTTTCACAGCGATTAAAATGTATGGTCTTTCTAATACAATAGGGTAAAAGAAAAACAAGAATGACATGAATTTTACATATGATATTGTACTTGTTTTCCCTGCATGTAAAATACAATGTTCAGTGCTGGGCGAAAGCCTTACACATTTTCGGAGGCAGATTCGTTGATGGACTTGACAAGCGGCTCCCTGCCCTCTCGTTCGACTTTAGAAGGGACCGTTGCTTTCCTAGCGGGATATAACACATAATGTTGACACATGAAAATAATGTCAAAGAAAATGGATACCTGCAAAAAAAAAGTTGCATGGTAGTTAATGGTAAAGAACATCGAAGAATTTATGGACGAAATGTGAAGCAATGAATCCACGTTGCAAGCAGAGTTCGTCTTTATTACATATTAACCGGCAAAGGCATCAAGAGAGCAGCACAATACAGGATTAGTGGAAAGGATAATAAAAACAAATCAGGATGGTGGAGAATATATGACATACCAAAGAAAGCAATGTCTTCCCGATATTTCCGTAGAAGTTCACCCAAGAATCTGAAAAATAAATTAATCTCACGATTAGCATATTATTATATGAAGCGTAATTTTGGACCATAAGATAATTCGTAAAGGAGAATCATACTTTGATCAATAGACTGTATGACCATCTGAGCATAATTTGCCAATCCTCCAGTAAAATCAAGCAAAATGTTTCCAATGCTGAACCCATCCGTACTCTTTCGTGCAAAGTTCATGACTGCCTGAAATTACATGACAAACTTTGTAAGCATCGAAATCAAGCAAGGTCCTTCAGTCATATCGTGAGTTAAAGGCAATTAAGACACCAAGAATCTTCCTGTGCTATAAGACCAAGTGACCAACCAAGGACACTACACAATGATGTTGGTTGATAGAACAGACTAGTAAAATTTTAGGCAACAACAATGTAACCTCATGTGATTTGAGGAAACAATGAAGCTTCCCTTTTTCGAGATCATTCTTGTTCTTTCTTTTCTTGTTATCCTCAATAAGATCCGAAATTTAAAAACTCGAGGAAATATACTGTTTTATGTGCTAATGGAAGTTTTTCCATAATCAAAACTATGATGCATCAATCTAATTGCAGCAGTTCTACCAATGATTTGAAAAATATGAAACAGGATGACATCTAACCTGGGGAATATATTTGATCACAGTCATGAAAACTTGAATTGAGCTGCAACAAAGATGAAACCGAGATGTTATCTACTTTGGTTCCTCACATGGATACAAAGGATTTAAAACTGAAAAAAAGGAACTTACTTAAAGATGGAGATTAACCAAAGCCATGAATGGCTAGGCAATGCTACAAAGAAACAAATGGCGGCGATTAACCACACAACAGAGACAATTCCTATAGAAATCTTAGAAACCTTTTGAATCCCACGCTGCACAAAACCGATCATCAATGAAACTCCAATTTTCAACTTACAAACTCTCGGAAAGTCCTCATCATCATAGCAACGAAAAAGCTAGTGAAGCTAACCTCATAAATCACAATTTGAAACAGAGTAATAGCTGTCAACAAAACAGCATGTATCGAAAATGCAACATCATTAGCAGCTACAGGGATCATCTGCATCAAGCATAAAGTCAACAAAACAAAAGAAATTTGAAAAAAATAAATAAATTCTCATTAACAAGTGGTTTCAATTCATCATAATTCTTGGCCTTGATAACAGTAAGCTAACATCTCAAACTTAAATTAACTATAAGAATGGATTTTTGCCTTCAATAATTTTGAAAGTTAGCTATACAAATTCAACTAATTCAGCATATAAAACATAAAAAGGAATCAGAAATAATAAAAACCCAACAATTGAAAAGGAGATACTAAAAAAAGAACCTCTCCAGAGCCATATTTGTCGAAGTATTGCTGCTGAATAACTGGGCTAAAGTAGAGACAAACGTTGTAGATCATATAAGAGGAGTGCTTTGTCAAATTTAGCAGCACGAAATCGAAGTTCAACCCAATAACGCTGAGAGTGGGAACAAACAAAAGGAAAAATTGGAAACTGTAAGATCAGAGTAAGAGAATCGAAACTAGAATTCTGGGATTTCAAGGTACCTTTTTCTTCGGAAATTTAAGATGACTTGAGGATAGAAACTAATGGACCACGAAAAAAACGCAAGCCAACCGAAAGTTTCATATGTGATTTCCAGTGGAAATGAATTCCAGGATGCCATCTTTTTTGCCTGATTTTCCCTGTTGATTGGAGGTAGAGAAAATCAGAGATGGCAAAATTAAATACCCAATGACGAAGATATATCTTTCTGTATTTGGTCCTCCTTTGAGGATACGTTCACTCTTTGATTTTTCAACCTTTGCGGTTGTGAAATCAAAGCGTTTGGATTTTATAATATAGAAAACAATTAGGCTTAATTGTAAAAATGCCCTCGGTAAAAAAGTTGAAAAAGCAATTTAGTCCTCATGAAAAATCTGCAACCAAATGAGTTTCATAATTAAAACTTTTTTCAAGCAAGCCCTTCATTAACGTTGAACGTTACTTTTTACTAACATGATTAGAGACCCTATAATCAGGACCGGCCCAATACATGTGCCAGATGGGCGACGGCTCAGGGCAGCATGTAGGGGCGACGGCCCAGAGCAACGTGTAGGGGCATCAGTTTTACACAATAACATCTCTCAGCTGCTAACTTTCAAAGCTTTCCCGATCCACCAATCGAGAAACTTGAAAAAACTTGAAAATAGAACATCTTTTTGTACCATTTTGGAGGTCTAGATTTTCAATCTTTGCCCCTCAACTCCTCAGAATTCCTTGGCTCCAAACAATGGTATGTACTTTATCTGTTTTGTTTTGTTTTTTGTTACTTCCCTAATTCGTCAATTTTTTTATCGGATAGAAAAGAGCTGGAGACTCTTTTGATATAAGCCTCATATTGTTTTGGCCTTGGCAGATCCGATTTATTTTGTTGCAAAATAGGCAAGGCAAGACTCGTCTGGCCAAATACTATGTTCCCCTCAAGGATTCCGAGAATCACAAAGTCGAATATGAGGTATTACAATTTTCATTTCTTTATTGATCATTTGGAAACCCCTTATTTTCACTCCCTAAGGTTTTGGAATTTGGGCGAATTTCTTAGCTACAGTTTTTGAATATTTTGATTATTCGTTTACAGGTTCATCGATTGGTGGTTAACAGAGACCCCAAATTTACTAATTTTGTGGAGGTTGGTAAAATCCCCTATTATTTTTAAAAAAATCCGTTTGTTAATTTACTTACGTTTTTTGTGAATTCCTAATATTTCATATTTTACTATTGGATTTTTTTGGTGAGGAAAGGGAAAGTTGCCTTTTAAATGATGGTTTTAGAGAATATCTCATAAGAACTTAACTAGAAAATTGAAGAAATACAAAAGTAGGGAAAGGCTTAGATTTTAAGCAGGCAATTGTTGAATGTTTGATTGATTGTATGCATTTTTTCTTTTGCAGTTCCGTACGCACAAGGTAATCTACAGGCGTTATACTGGATTGTTTTTCTCATTGTGTGTTGACATAAAAGATAATGAGTTGCCATATTTGGAGTCTATATCTATTCATTTATTTGTGGAGATATTGGACCACTTTTTCATCAATGTATGTGAGCTTGACTTAGTTTTTAATTTTCACAATGTATGTTATTATCAACTTTTGCATGAACATTACTTGCTGGATTCAAGTTTTCTATCTAATTCCCATGAAACTGTGAGTTCCAAAAACCAAAAAGTTGTGTTTTTTCCTGTTTCATTTTGTTTTATTTCTTATTGAAATCGTGAGTTTGTGATCTCAAGTCTAACCACTTGCTTACTGCCATTTCAAATTACTTTTGGCAATCTTTATCTAACTTGTGAACTGCTTTATTTCCACTCGTTGGTTTAAACACGTGTATTGCGGTTGATTGTCATATTCCTCTCACTTCACTTAACCTTTTTCCTTTGAAATCAATGAAGGTTTATCTGATACTCGATGAATTCATTCTTGTTGGAGAGCTTCAAGAAACAAGTAAAAAGGTTTGCTCCCCCCTTAGAGACCTTTTAGTTATTATTTCATGTTGATGTTTTTTTATTAGTATTGATATTGTTTGACTATAATTTCTATTATATTTTTGTTTTAAAAAAATTATTTATGTTTTGTCTATTATACAGTACAAGTATAGGGGCATAAATTATTATCTTGCCCAGGGCATTAAAACTCCTTGGACCGGTCCTGCCTATAATGATGACCATGGAAGACTTAAATGATTATTATATTTAATATTATAGGTTTAATTGAATGTAAATTATAGAAGTAATTCAAATTTTTTAAATTAAATTGTAAAAAATTATAGAAAATTATAATAAAATATTTTTAAAAATATATAATAATATTTTTTAACTTTTGGAAAAAAATATAAATGTGGCTTATGAATTTTTTTATTGTTATGCTATTGATGTGATAGTTCGTGATATTAACATAGTAATACATATTATTGATGTGTCATTTTATGGTTGTTCTCGATGGATAAAGACATGAGAGATAGAGTTAATAGATTCTTTTAAGAAGTTCATATGCTTAAATGATTTATTTAGAAAGTTCAAAGACTTGTTTATTTAAAAAAAATTAAAATTTCTAAAAATATTTATAAATAATTAAATAAAATAGAAATTTTTTATCAAAAAAATCTTCTAAGCTTGATTCTATTACTAATCATTGAATATCTTTTCGGTTATAAATATTTAATATTTTTATATATTAAGTGTTTTAAATTTTAAATAACCTTTTGAGTGAGAGAAAAATATTTTATTTTTTAATATTAAGAATATTAAATATTTTTTTAAATATTTTTCTTTCAATCAAAAAATATTTAAAATATTAAACATAATAAAAAAAATCTAAAAGTGATTGATATATTATTAAAAATAAAATATTCCAATTAGACACTCACACGTCAGTAAACTTAGCATTAGGTTAGTATCTAATATTTTTGTACAATTAGAATGAGTTAGTTAAACAATTTTAAGAATAAAGGCCCGATTAAGACATTTTTTGCAAATAATTTATTTTTTTAGTTATTTTATAAGAATTATTAATAATTTAGTTTAAAAAGAGATAATTATATGATGATGAAGTAAGGAAGCTGAACCTACATGTTTATTGTAATGAAGGTGTATTTTAATTAATTGAGTACCAACCGAGTTGTAAAAAATATTTACCTTTTTATATATTTATATAATCTCTAATTAATTAAAAATCACTTTAAATTAAACTCATATTTAATATAATTTATATTCCAATTCTTTATCATCAATCTTTATTATATGTATAACTAAAAATAAGGGAAAATAAAATTAAATAATAGTCACCAAAGTCTTGTTATAGTGTTTATTATTCAAGACTTTTCATACATTATATTAATTTTCAGTTTTTCACGAACTAATACATTTAAATTTGGACGAATCAAGCTGAGAAGATTTTTATTATATGTGCTTGGTTAAATTGTCCATATCAAGCTCCAATTAAATTTCACCAAGCACATATAACGGACAAGCGCCATCCGTTGTCATAACTGAAAATATATTCAATGATTAGTGATAGAATCAAGCTAGAAGATTTTTTTTTGATAAATTTTTTTATTTTATTTAATTATTTATAAATATTTTTAAAATTTTTAATTTTTTAAAATAAACAAGTCTTTGAACTTTCTAAAAAAATCATTTAAGCACATGAACTTCTTAAAAGAATCTATTAATTCCATATCTCATATCATCATCCATTGAGAACCGCTATAAAATGTTACATCAATAATGTGGAACACTACGTTAATACCACGAATTAAATTTGGACAGTTTCACCCAGCACATATAATAAACAAGACTAATCATTGAATACATTTAAATTTGGACGAATCAAAAAAAATATTCTCAGCTTGATTTAGAGATATGGCAAAATTCAACATTGTTTTAGGGATGGCGCTTGTTAAGGAACTCAACGTCTTTAGTTAGACGAATTTTACGTGCTAAGTATTTCCAAAACAAGGACTTCATGGATTCGAGTTTGGGTGCTGCACCATCCTACATCTGGAGGAGTATATGGAGTGCACGAAGGCTGCTAGAGATGGGGTTATGCTGGAAGGTGGGATCAGGGACCTCTATCTCAATTTGGAACAATTTCTGGCTACCTAGTTGTTCCCATTATCGCGTTGTTTCTAACCGAGTTGACACAGCGGAGAAGGTGGCAGATTTAATTGATAGCGAATCAAAGTCCTGGAAAGTTAAGCTAGTAAAAAATGTGTTTGTTGAAGAAGAGGCAAACAGGACTCTGGACTTCCCAATATCAAAATTTGACCAACAGAACTATATTGTTTGGAGCGGAGAACGGTCGGGGATTTACAGCGTACACAGCGGATACATATTATTAAATCGTAATCAAATCCATAGTTCAACCAAATCCCTGTTTAATCGCATTTGGGCTAGTGTTTGTCAAAGGAAAATCAAGTTACAAGTTTGGAGATTTGTTAATAATTTTATCTCGACAAAACATAACCTGCATCATAGACGAATAATTCAAGACCCTAGCTGCCTGAAATGTACTAATGTGCTGGAGTCAGGTTTACACATTACCCGTGATTGTTACCTATCTCGTCTTCTATGGCCTGCGCTACGCAGCAAATCTATTCGATTGGTTAAATTGGTTATTCAAGAACCATACATCCACCAAACATGCAGAAATACTTTGTGTAATCTAGGCATTATGGTTTGCTCGAAATAAAGCACTTCATGAAGGAATTTTTTTTTTGAAGAATTAATTACCCTGATAACAGCTCAGTGTCAGGACTTTCTCCTAGCAAACTCTGAATTGCATAGTCCTCCCATGGCCCCATCAGTAAACTGGGAACCCCCTCTAGATTCGGTTTCCAAAATAAATTTTGACACTCGCTTCTCGCAAAATCATAATTGCTCTTTGTAAGGGGTGGTGATTCGTAATTCAGAAGGTGCTATACTGGGAGCATGTAGGAGAAAAGCGGAGAGGATTACCTCAGTATTTATGGCGGAGGCGACGATAGCTTTAGATGCAGTCATCTTCGCTGCAGATATGGGTTTTCAAGTGATTATAGTCGAAAGAGATTCAAGATCAGTAATTGAAAAGCTTAGCTCCCCTGAGACAGATCTATCGGAGATAAGTGCTTTGACTTAGGAAATTAGAAACAGGTCAGAATCCTTTTTTGTGTAATCGTTCTGTTTTATCCGACGATCAGATAATAAAATAGTCCACTTACTTGCAGCAACGACGGAGTATGATACAGGGGACTGGTTTTGGGTGGAAGAAGCGCCAACAACTGTTGAAAATCAGGCGGTGGATGACAGGAGGAACCTCGATCCACCATAGAGGTTATGAAGATAGATTGAGCATAGATAGTCAATCTTGGTGTGATGGTGTTTGCTTCTCTGTGCTGGACGATTCATTGTTTCACTTCGAGAATACTGAGAAGGTTGGAGCCAGCTGTTTTTCATTTCATTTAGGCTGCAGAATGCAATTTCTTTAATACATGTTTCACTTTTTTTCTTTTTAGGAATTAGCGTTGTTTCTTAACTTATTTGTCCGTTCATTATGACTTTTTTGTTTACTTATGCAATAAGTACAAAAAAGTTGGCTTCCAGTTAAAAAAAAAATCATATATAAATATTACGTGACTATATGACTACATCCGTCCATGCTCCATGCATGTACGTGCCATATTAAAGCTTGAATGAAGAAGAAGAGTCCGGCAACACCGGTGGCAACCCCAATGACGCTGGAGGCTTTGAGAGAATTGGAATCCGACGGTGCCGGTCCCGGAGCGGCTAGTGAAGGAGGAGAATGGCTGCTGAGGGTATCCCTGCCGGTGGAAGAGGAGCCGGCGCTGTCAGAGGAGGGAGATGAGGCGGGGAAGGAGGAGGGAGTCGCTGATGATTCCCCCTTAGAGGATGGCTTACTATCGGCCGCGTAGGCCCCAACAACGGCCAAGAAAACAAGGGCGACGGCAATAATAATTTGGCGAGTCATCTTTTGCTTTTGTTTGTTGGTTGAATTTGAAAAGAAAGGAGATATCAGATATGAATTTATATTTTTGTTTGTTTATTTATTGTATATGATTCGAAAAGAAATGCAGTACTATTTCTCTTGAGAAAGAACACTGCAAAACTGATGAATGGTTTGAATAGAAGGCAAAGTCAGTGGGTTTATATAGGAAATACTTATTTGGAAAAATTAACGATTTTCATGGTTTTTTAGCTATATATTTTAGAGGTAATGATTTATTTTAGAATCATTTGGTTGTAATAATTACAAAAACTGTTAATATTTATAAAATCCTCGTAATTAAATACAAGTATTATATATCAAGGATCGACAATTCCTTTGGTTTAATCTTAAATAAAATTAAATTATTATTTAAACACGGTTATAAGGACAAAGTTAGCTTATAATATTTGTACAAATAATCATTTTTCTCCATATATTTTTTGGAGCAGTATATCTCCTAATATTTATTGGATAGAAATCGTTAGTGGACTAACGATCAATATATATATTACTAACATAACATTTTCACATGTGTTTAATTGCTAACATGACATATGTTACGTCATTATTTTGGGTGATGTGACACATATCATGTCATCACTTTAAATGACCTGACACATGTCATGTCATCACTTTAGTGTTGTGATGAAACTGGAAAAATTTTAAGTTGAGTGGTCAAAATAAAAATATGTACAAAGTTAAGAGATTGAAAAGTATTTTACCCACTAGAATATTATTGACATATTAAATTCATTTTTTTTACCCAATAACATATTTCAACGTGTATGTATACATTTTGTCTTTTGCTTCATGTTCATGTTGTTATTATTTCAATTTTATTATTATTTTTCAACAAAAAATAAAAGACTAAAAAAAATAATATCAATTATACGATCCAATCCATGAATACCTTTATACATAGCAAAACAAACAAAATTAATAATAATTAAGGGATTTTTTAAAATCTTAAAAAATATTAAATAATATTAAATAATTTTAACATTAAAACTATTTTAAAATATTTAAAATTATATTTAAATATTAAAATCATTTAAAATTTATTTTCAACCATGTTTTAAGAAACGGTTAACCAGCTGTTTGAGCGGGAGCAACAAACGATTGAGTCGAATACCGAGTCAATTGGCAGCGATTTACAAGTAATGAAGAACTGAAGCAACAATAGGGTTATAAGTGGAAATCTTTCATTACTAATCCAATAACACAAGGCACGTGAAAATTAGGGTCGGACTCACAGGTTTAAACGCCAGCTATAGCTCTAGATTATACACATTTATACAAATTACATCTCATTGCCGATGCCCATCCGGCAACGGAACCACCCTGTGAAATGGTACTGTCCGCTGAGGCAAGGCTCCATCTTCCTCGTCATCGTCGAATTCCAGTAAATACCTGGGAAACAAGCAACGATTAATCAACTAATACTAACAGTAATCAACAAACATATGGTCAAGAATCGAGGATGTTACTTACTCGTCTGATTTCCTCTGGAAAAATATGAATGGTTGGCATCCCCCCATAGATATACACAAGAAATTAGTAGTCAGTTCAACATATAAGTAAAATAGAAACCGGAGCAACTGACCTGGAATTATTATGGAGATGACTGGAATCATTACCTTTCGAGGAGTACTGATGACAGTCGCCTTATAGAGCGCTGTTGTTCCAGGATAAACAGCCAGAACTTGTCTTCCAGCAGGGAATTCTTAAGTACTAGACGGATCGTTCCGCTTGGGGAACGGTATAATGCAAGATGCAGGCAGCTTGTACTTCCTGAAGTTGCAGTAACAAAAACCAGAGTTATTTGTATTTTTCAAGTGTTCTCAAAATCTATGTTGCTCCAACTCCTCATTTTTAATCAATTTTCTTCAAGTAACCGAGTATGACACCCCTTTCCGACACTTCCAGTCATTGTGTAAGGGTTATGACCTTTCAAAAATCCTCTAAATACACAAAAAAACAGAAAGAAAGAAAAACATGAATATATCCATGTCAGACACATCCGATGGATACACAAAATGCTCCGATTGATACAACACAAAAGTTACACATAAGTGTGCTGTCAAATAATTGAGCAACCAATTTCTTATGTTTTAAAGTATAAAAGAAAAATGAACCTAATCCAGTAGTATAAATACTTAAACTGATTCGAATTCCGGTCTCAATCTATTGGAACAAAAAAACATAAAGCATTTATACTACTGGAATTTGTTTAATGTCAGCTACACAAATAGGGCAGTTCCGATACTCTTATACTAGTATCTGAAATCTACAGAAAGAAATGAGTTTTCTTTTTCGGTACATCTCATGCATTCAATGTTCGACCTTCAGAAGAACAGAAAGAACATAAAAACTTAAGGATTTCAACTATAACAATATAAATTCGGAACCTAGGGTCATATCACTTCAACAACTTTCCTGTCATCGGCCAAGCAACTATATGTTTCGGTAAACTACTCACCTACTGTACTTTTAGAAAGGGAAAGAGAGGTATAAGGTAGAGAAAATCAAAGTGCAGAACATTACAGATCTGAACATCTCCATTATTATATAACTGCAAGCCGCTGCTAACCCTTCCACAGTTAGGAAAGTTTCATGGTGTCCAGTTATAACCTTTAGCTTTTAACTTAATAATAATGGATTTTTAAGATTCTTAAGGCTTCGTCTGTTCGATACTTTTTCTATTTGCTTCTTGCTTTCCTCATCTTTACCTCGATAAATATTAAAGCATAAATAAAATGAAAACGAGGTACAAAAATCAAAAAGCAAAGTGCCAATCAAACGGAGCCTAAATATTATTATGCAAAGGGATTTAAAGCAACTGAAATGTCCAATAGCACACACCCATCTTTCTTTGTTGTTGTCCCGGAGGTCCAGATGGCAAGAAAGCATCAAGCTGACTTACTAACAAGCTGGAAATACTTATCAATGCCAAAACGGTGGTTGGTAAAAAACAATGGACATGGTACCCGAAATACAAATGCTATCCAGAAAGTTCATTCCTACACTCAGAAAAAAAAGCCCCGGGTTTACTAGAAAATGGGAAGTGAGAAAGAGAAAGAAGGGCAAAGCAAATTGAACAAGACTTTGTTAGAGATAGTGAGCATACGTTACTTCTTTCCCTGAAAGATCTCTACCTTGAATATACAAAGTTTTCAGTTTCGACAATGAAGAATCGCCAGGTTTCTCAACTACCTCAGGGGCTGCATTTATATACAAAAGTTTGGGATAAGTATAAACTATCACTGACAGTAATAGTTAAACAGGATAAAGACAAAGAAAGTAAAAGAAGAGAGAGAAATGATTCTCAAATCTTAAAGAATACAATTTAATCATTTGTATCCAAGACCTTTAAGTGAATTTTCCATCCATTAAAGCTGTAATAAATTACTCGATGCAAGACAACAATCCAGAAGTTGATTATTTAAAGTATTGTCGAAATCTCTAAACCTCAAGTCATGATTCAAGAGCAACATTCATAGACGAAGAACCAAAAGTTCTTGTAAGTCTTTGATTGAATTCCGGAGCTCTTTCGAATGATAAGCTGGAAGCCTTTCATTTGAAATTACATAACCAAACCAAAAATTCCACAAGGTTATGAGATACCATAATGCATCCCGTAGTTTCTGTTAAAGTTTTTAAATGGTAACAAATAATGGATCTAAAAATTCCTCCCATACTTCTATACTCCGGACTGTCGACTATGTGCATCCAAGAAACTGATAATCAAACTTAAACCATATCAAATTAACAACACTACTTTTAGTGTTCCAATACACACAATTAGTTGTTAACTTGTAGAATATTCTGGTTTATGATATCTTTCGTGCAACCATTCTCAATTAAATCAATCAAAACATTTCGGTGAAAGAATATCAGGGGCAAAGTAATGATACGAGAGTAATGAAATTCTGAACTAAAACTGCTCAACGAGTATTGCGGGGCTCACTATTTAAAATGTAATTATATATGAAGCTTTGACCATTTATCTACAAGCAAATTTAATCACTCTTAACATGGAATTAGAAGCATCTAAAGAATAACACTGGAAAATCACACAACTTCTATTCTCCATGAAAACTCGGCCACATAAGCAGCCATTTTTTTTTAGCTAAATAGCATATTTTATTATCCTAGAGGCAAATCCTTAACACCAAACTTACATGTTGTCGAAACCGTCTTTCGGTTGGGCCCCGGAATTGGGCTTCGACTTGAAAAATGTGGATTGGAGTCGCCACCGATCATTTACTTTACGAAAAGTGGGTTGATCGGATACCTTATTTCTTACATGGTCTGCGTCTTACCAGTGATATGTCGGATCCGGGAGTCGGTTACGGTCAAGGAAGGATTAGCACCCTTGAACCGCCCTTTCGGTACTATGTAATTTCCAGTTGTCTTTAATTGCGAAAAATTAAAATTTAAAAATTCGATTCGAGTTGCTTACCTTTGATCGGTTGAGATTATTACTAAAAATGGCAAAATGAATGTCAAATTGAAAAATAAAAATAATAAAGAAATATCAAATAGATTAAAAAAAGGTTTTTAGTAAAGCCTGAATTAAAATGTACTCAATGATGGCTAAAGATTCATAACACATGAACTATAATTAAGGCGCAAACAAACGTGAGAGTTAAAGTGAAATTAACACAGGGACCAAAGTGTTACAATTCAAGAGAATGAAGCTACATCAAACTTCATTTAAAACTAAAATGGTTAATGGCTTAATTTAATCAATGCATTAAACACATGTTCATAAACAAAACACAAATAAGGGATCATCTCACTGCTTCACGTAAAATACAGAGAGAGAGAGAGAGAGAGGGAGAGAGAGAATGTTACAATGCTTTCGCCAGGAATAGGTGAACCGCCGCTCGCAGTCACTCTCCGCCGTTTAGTTTCAAACTTCAAAGGAAAGTTCGTCTCAACGCCAACAATTCGAATCCGTCCCCGGTTTTGAGAGAAGTGGCCTTCAACTCCACGAAAAAGCCAAAAAACCTTTCGATTTTTCACTAATCCGATCTGATCATTCCGCCATTGGATCGTAACTGTTTCGAAGTATGTTGTTCTTCCATGTCTCTCTTTTCCAAATTCGCCGTTTTGTTTCACTTTGATACCTTGGCATCGGAGTTTCGAAATAAGCTGCTCGAAATACTCCTGGACTAAGGGAAGAGACGGTGGCAGGAGAAGGGGAACTGCGGCGTACGATATGGTCTGGGTTTGGTGTAATCAAATACACAGAGAGGAAGGGATGGACAATTTGGTTTTGCTTCCTTCCCTTGCTCTTTTCTGGTTCGGGTTTGAAATAAATCGACCCCAAACGCTTGAATATGGTGAAGTCTCTAGATTTCTTTCGCACCACTGATCTCACACTGTCACCGTTGGATCTTCACAAGGTCGAGATATATTGTTACCCCCGTCATCACCTAGCTCCTCGCCGTTGGAATTTACAAACTGATCGCCGGAGCCACCACCATCTACAACCTCAGGTAAGGTTCTTAGCCTTTTATTTCTTTCTCGAAGTTTAACAAGTGTAAATGACTTGTGTTTTTTTCTCTGTATTTTCGTCGTATACTCTCTGTGATCCTCCTCCTTTGCTTTGGGTTTACACGTTTTATTTATAATGAAAAGAACACCTATTTTTAGCTTGAGTCCTATGTAAATTGAGACTCTTGATCTGTTGGTTGTTGGTGACGTGCCGAGAAGAACAGCGTCAATTACTATTGTGGATCACTGCTCTATGTGTGGTGAAAAAAGGCTCAGTGGAGGGGGTGGGAACGAAAATTTAGTGTCTACAGCTGCCCCTCTTTGTCCTTTTTCATGGAACGAAAAATAGGGCAAAGATAAAAGGACACAAATTTTTGTTCGCTGAAGTTGAAAAATGACTCTGATATTTCAATTAAGAATAACTCCCTGTCGATTTGAGTTGCGGATGACTCCTCCGTCGTGAAGTCGAGTCCATCTTGAGGCCGTTAGTTCGGAATTTGAATCGAAATGTGGCTCATTGTTGTAGCCCGCTTCAGTTTTCTTCTCGGTTTATAGATCTTTGTTCCAAAAATTCGACTTGGAAGTAATTCTTTAACTCCAAGCTGTGGTTGACAGGCCCTTGAGATGAATGAAATCGAACTCGAAAGGTCTTCGTCGACATATGGCTTTTCTCGGCTTAAACTATGCTGCCGAAAAACAGTTAACCAGGTCTTCTTCTCGACTTGAAAACCTTGATTACAGCCGGACAGTAGTGTGATTGAGGTATCATCGAGCTGAATAGAGTCGAACTCGACAATTTTATTGACAAATAGCCCTTCTTGCCTTGAGCTATGTTGTAAATGATATGACCTCGAAGTTGAGTGTAATCGAACCCAGGGGTCTTTGGCAGATAGCCCTTCTCGACTTAAGCTATTCTGCAAATGATGTGCCTTAGAGCTGAGCGTAGTCAAACTCAAAGGTCTTTTGTTGGCAGATAACCCTTCTCGACTTAAGTTATGCTGCAAATGATATACCTTGGAGCTGAGCGTAGTCGAACTCGAAGGTCTTTGGTGACATATAACCCTTCTAGCCTTGAGTTATGCTGCAAATGATGTGCCCTTGAAGCTGAGTGTAATCGAACTCGAGGGTCTTTGGCATTTCAAGAGAAACTGTCTCAAGAGAGACACCAATTTGTTTCAAGGGAAACTGTCTCAAGGGAGACGAATTTTGTTTCAAGAGAAACTGTCTCAAGGGAGACGAAATTTGTCTCAAGGGAAACAATCTCAAAGGTTTTTGTTGACAGATAACTCTTCTAGCCTTGAGTTATGCTGTACATGATGTGCCCTCGGAGCTGAGTATAATCGAACCCGAAGGTCTTTGGCAGATAGCCCTTCTCGACTTAAGCTATGCTGCAAATGATGTGCCTTGGAGCTGAGCGTAGTCGAACTCAAAGGTCTTTGGTTGGCAGACACTCCTTCTTTGAGTTGGATATCCCTCGACGTGAAGTTGAAATCCAATCTAGAGATTGATACTGCTTGTGTGCACGATTCCCTTCGTCACGAAGTTGAAACCGTGGGTGGCCCCTTCGTCGTTAAGCTGAGCCTGGAATTGGATATCCTTCGTCGTGAAGTTGAAATCCAAGTAAGTTGTATTGTTCCAAGTCCAATATCCTCCGCTGTGAAGTTGAAATTGGCTATGGAACTGGAAAATTGTTTGTTGACAACCAGCGGTCCCTTCGTCGTGAAGTTGAACTTGCGTTGTCTGGAGTCCAATATCCTTCGTTGTGAAGTTGAAATTGACTCTGAAATCGAGAAATGTTTGTTGACAACCAGCGGTCCCTTCGTCGTGAAGTTGAACTTGCGTTGTCTAGAGTCCAATATCCTTCGTTGTGAAGTTGAAATTGACTCTGAAATCGAGAAATGTTTGCTGACAACCAGCGGTCCCTTCGTCGTGAAGTTGAACTTGCATTGTCTGGAGTCCAATATCCTTCGCTGTGAAGTTGAAATTGGCTCTAAAATTGGGAAATGTTTGTTGACAACCAGCGGTCCCTTCGTCGTGAAGTTGAACTTGCGTTGCCTGGAGTCCAATGTCCTTCGTTGTGAAGTTGAAATTGGCTCTGAAATTGAGAAGTTGTTTGTTGACAACCAGCGGTCCCTTCGTCGTGAAGTTGAACTTGCGTTGTCTGGAGTCCAATATCCTTCGTTGTGAAGTTGAAATTGGCTCTGAAATTGGGAAATGTTTGTTGACAACCAGCGGTCCCTTCGTCGTGAAGTTGAACTTGTGTTGTCTGGAGTCCAATATCCTTCGTTCTGAAGTTGAAATTGACTCTGAAATCGATAAATGTTTGTTGACAACCAGCGGTCCCTTCTTCGTGAAGTTGAACTTGCGTTGTCTGGAGTCCAATATCCTTCGCTGTGAAGTTGAAATTGGCTCTGAAATTGGGAAATGTTTGTTGACAACCAGCGGTCCCTTCGTCGTGAAGTTGAACTTGCGTTGTCTGGAGTCCAATATCCTTCGCTGTGAAGTTGAAATTGGCTCTGAAATTGGGAAGTTGTTTGTTGACAACCAGCGGTCCCTTCGTCGTGAAGTTGAACTTGCGTTGCCTGGAGTCCAATGTCCTTCGTTGTGAAGTTGAAATTGGCTCTGAAATTGAGAAGTTGTTTGTTGACAACCAGCGGTCTCTTCGTCGTGAAGTTGAACTTACGTTGTCTGGAGTCCAATATCCTTCGTTGTGAAGTTG